TCTTTTTTATTTTTCTAAAGCCCTAAAGGTAAACCCTAGCGGGGAATATATTATAAAATACAAAAAAAAAATACGTGGCAGCAGAAGACTCACCCGGTGTTTATCACCAGGTGTAGGGTCGAACAAATCCGTAATTAACCCTTTTGACAAAATGTCAATATTTTCAGAAGTTGATAACAAATTCAAACTGTGTTAATGATATGGAAATTTGGCATATACATCCTAATTTATATACGTGTTCCCAAAATGCGATGTTTTCTTGGGTTAAGTAATGGGCTTGCCTTGTTGGATCATAAAAACTCTTGACATCAAGAAAATGTGCGAAGTGTTTGTGCTCATAATAGTTCTCCCCCTTTACTGTGTTGCTAGTAGCTTAACCAAATTTGTTTTCCATCAAGCTATCTTTTACCCTTATTAGGAGTTTAATGCAATTAGTACTCTTGTGTTACATCCGGAGAAAATTACATTTTTCGTCATCATACTTTTCTCACTTTTTCAGAATTGTCCCTAAACATTTTGGAGTTACAATAGTAGTCATTGTCCTTAATCATGCCATTTTTTGACAGAATTGGTCCGCCGTTAATTTTTGCAGTTAAGTTGGATGGAAAATGGCATGTGCCTCTCACGTGCCTTCAATTTACAACACTACATGAAAATGGACTTTCAACAAAACGCATTGCGTGTTGTTAAAACATATTTTTTATAATTATTATTTTAATTAAAATTTAATATAAAATCGAAATCACGTAAATTCCAAAAAAATCAACTCGTTTCGGAAATATTGTTTAAAAAATCAAAATATAGTTTAAAATTTTAAAATATTGTTCCAAAATCTGCATTTTTGGAATTCAATTAAAATATACCGTTTCAAGCCAAAATAAAAACCCGATAGGAATTGGGGAATTAGAAATCTCCATTCCAATTTTCACCTCTAGTCAATTCCAAAAATTCCAATTGTGTGACAATATGTCGTGTTTTAAATCATTCAATATAGGTGAAAATTGGAAAGGAGTTTTCTTATGCTGCCTAATTTGATCGAATTTTTATTTTATTTTAAAATAATATTTTCATTCAATTTCCAAAATCCGATTTTAAAACACGATATTATTTTTTAGACAATAATATGATTTTTTTAAACAATATTTCTTAATTTATTTTGAAAAAAATATCCAGTTTTAGATTATTAAATAAGGATGAAAATTGGAACGGAGTTTTCTTACTTCGCCTTATACGATTAGATTTTTATTTTATTTAAAACAATAATTTTCATTTGGATTCAAGAAATCCCGGTTTTAAAACATTATATTATTATTTTAGACAATACTTCTAAAAATATTTTGAAACAATTTATCGAGTTTTAAATTATTAAATTAGGGTGAAGATTGAAATGGAGGTTTCTTATCCCACCTATTCGGATCGAAATTTTATTTTATTTTGAAACAATGTTTTCCTTTAAATTCCGAAAATCTTGATTTTGAAAGCAATATTTCATTTTTTTTAAACAATGTTTCAATTGTTTAAAGAATATTTCTCAAAATATTTTAAAACAAATATATATCGATTTTGTTTTCTTGGAATTTATATAATTATGAATTTCAATCAAGTTTTAATTATGAAAAAATTGTTTTAACAAGACGCAATGCGTGCTGTTAAAAGTCAATTTTCATGTAGTGTTGTATATTGAAGGCATGTGAGAGGCACATGACATTTTCCATCCAACTAAACTGCAAAATAAGCGGCGGACCAATTCTGTCAAAAATTGGCATGATTAAGGACTACTATTGTAACTCCAAAATGTTTAGGGACAGTTTTGAAAAAGTGGGTAAAGTATGAGGACGAAAAATGTAATTTTCCCGTATAATTACAAAGAAATTTTATTGACTCTAAATTTTGCAACTATCATTATGCATTTAACTTCTCTCTAAGTTTGTTTTAATAAAAGGGTTTATTGCAATTAGAGATTTGAGCTGTGCAAGTGAAGTAGATGAAGCTATTTTCTGGTTTCGCAAAATGGTGAGAATGCGGCCGCAGCCCCCCATTTTCGAATTCACCAAACAATTAAAAGTTATTGTCAATTTGAAACAATACTCGGTTGCCCTCAAACTGTTCGACGAAATGCGTGAACTGGGTGCCCCTGTAAATGAGTACACAATGAACATCTTGATTAATTGTTGCTGCAATTTGAAGCGTGTAGACACGGTTACGAGCCAGATGTTGTGACATTCAACACTCAATGTGAGCCCAATGCGGAGAAATTATTTAAGCAACTTTTGAGTTTGAGACTTTGTGAGCCCAATGATTTTACGATTGTTACTGTGATAAACGGGCTCTGCAAAAATGGACACGTTCTTGCTGCCCATGATTTGCTTTGCTTATTGGAAAAGACTACTATCCATAAACCCAATGTTATGGCTTATAGCGCGGTGATTGATGGCTTATGTAAAGTCGGAATGGTGGATAATGCACTCGAGCTGAAGTGTAGAATGATTGATAAGGGCATTTCACCTGACGTTGTCACATATAGTTCGATGATTCAGGGCTTGTGCGATTTTGGTAGATGGAAAGAGGTGAAACACTTGTTAGATGAAATGGTCAACCACAAGATTTGTTTAACTGTTGTTACTTTCAATATATTAGTGGACTCATTTTGCAAGGAAGGAAATGTTAAAGAGGCTGAAGATGTTTTGGAAATTATGACGCAACAAAACATTAGTCCTGATATTTTCACTTACACTGCACTGATAGATGGATATTGTTTGCAAGGGAAAATGGATAAAGCGAAAGAAGTTTTTTATTCCATAACGGGTAACGGCCTTAAGCCATGCATTGTCACCTATAACTCTTTAATCAACGGGTATTGCAAGAAGGGTATAGTGGATGAAGCTTGGCGTCTTTTTCTCGAAGTTTCTTCGAAAGGCTTAGAACACACGACAGTTACTTATAACACCATGATGCATGGATTATTTAGTGAAGGCAGAATTGCCGATGGATGGAAACTATTCAACGATATGGAAACTTGGAAAGTGCATCCTAATTTACGTACTTACAATACTTTGTTGGATGGCTTGTGCAAGACTCATCAGATTGCTGAAGCATTTTCGTTTCTAGGGGTGATGGAAGACAAAGGATTAAGTCCTAATATAGTCACATACGGTATCCTGATTAGTGGTTTGTGCAAAGATGGGAAACTTGAAGATGCAAAAAAACTTTTAAACGAACTTCCTTCGAAAGGTTTGCAACCAAATTGTCAAGCGTATACCATTGTTATTGGTTCACTTTGTGAAGAAGGATTTGTAGACGAGGCAAAATATTTGCTTGTGAAAATGGAAAGAAGCGGTTGTGCACCGAATAGCGTGACATACAACAACATAATCCAAGGTTTGCTAAAGAGGAAAGAGGTTTACAAGGCCATGCCATTCTTAGAGGAAATGTACAAAAGGGGATTCTCGGCCGATACAGTTACTTCGTCCATGTTAATTAATCACCTGCAAGTATATAACAAAGATGTTGTTCTTCTAGAAATGATTAAGAAAGTTGTACCGAGATATAAATTATTTATTTGAGCTTCTGTAATAAAATAAAGTTTCGCTATGTCTATAATGACTAGGTATAGTTGCCTGTTGGTCTTTCTTTCATGACTTGGTACGATTTTTTGCGATGTACTTTTTTGAAGCGCGTAAGTAAGTGTGTATATCATGACCTTATACTAGTGTTACATGTTGCAAGTTTTAAAATAACACGAATTCCACAAAGTTACATAAACTACAAATTAAAAGGCGACTAAATTTATTGGTTAATTTTATTGGTAAAATTCATTTTGCACCCCTGTACTATGCGAAAGGTATCATTTACTCCTGAAGTATTGAAAATATCAAACCCCCCCCCCCCCCCCCCCCCCCCCCCTCATTTTTTCGATTGTCAATGGTCAAACTTTTAACGGTGTTAAATTTCAACATGAAATGATTCTTTTACCCTGCTTTATGTATGCTATAATCCCAAAATTTTTTGAAGTTTATTTTTGTGAATTGTTGACGATTTTTAGCGTTCATTTAAATTCGGATTTTTTGTCGATTTTCTTGTTTGATTTTAGGGGTTTTCAATTTTATTTTTTGGGGGGTTTTGCCATTATAATATGAAAGCTTTATTTTTAATTTGCAGTTCTTTCATAAGGTTTTATTTCAATTTTAGGGTCTCTTTTAGATTTTAGGTGTTTTCAGTTTTTTTTTGGGTTTTGCATTCATGATCTGCAAAGCTTCATTCTTACTGATTCGACTTATCAATTTTTTTTTTGCATAAACAAAAGAGAAAAAAAATGAAAAGAGTAAAAAATGACTTAATAAAGTGAAAAAAAATGGTTGAAAATTGCGAAAAATCTGGTAAAAAATGGCCATAACTAAGCAACCTATATATAGAGATTTTTTGGGTTATTTTCGTCAAAAAAAAAAAAAACAAAAAAAAAAAAAAGAAAAGCCAACAACTTTTAGCAATAGCTGGTCAAAATGTTTGACTAACGGAATTAGGAAAAAAACTAACTGCTGGGGGTGTTTGATGTTTTCTATAAACCACGGTAATAAATGATATCTTTCGCATAGTACATTGGTGCAAAATAAATTTTACCCTAATTTATATTGTAATTTTGATTTCCATTCGCCTTCTGAACTTGACTTCACAAATATTTTGCATCGAGTTCCTTATTAAAAGTTCTTTTGCAACAAAAAAGAACACCAAAGAGGAAGCATAGGACTTTAAATGCACATCCCTCAAGTTTAGATTTGGAAAAATTACTGTTTTCATCCCTCAAGTTTGTTGATTCACATTTTGACATCCATGTTCATTAGAAACACATCCAGTCCTCATGTTTCAATAATTTGCCACTTTTGGTCATTTCCGTCAATTTACCGTTAGTATGTCAGTTAAAAGAGTGATGACACATGCTTCATTCAGTTAGTATTGACGAAAATTAATAGAAATGACCAAAAGTATTAAATTGTTGAAACATGAAGGACTAAATCTATTTTTTGTGGACATGGGGAACCTAATGTGAAATCGAAGTGAACTTGAGGGACTAAAAATATTATACGTATACATATATTATTTTATTTTATTTTTAAACCCGGATAAGGGCCGACCGATTATGTTAATACTAAAATATATAATATATTAATTATTTTAATGTTACGACTCAACAACAAGTTATGTCCGTATAAGATTACTTTATTTTGCAAACGAAAAGGAATTGCAGTCGCAATAAGTAAAATATGAATTAAATGCAAATTACCCACCGAAATCCAATTGCTGAAACTTTTCACCGAGATTTGAGAATATAAAATGTTTCCAATAAAAGAGTTACTAACCTTTTTTTACTTCTTTCAATCTTGTTTTTATGTTTTTCCAATAACTTGCAAAGATCGTATATGATTTTTTTGGATTGGCTTCAATTGAGGTAAATCTTGTTTGTCACTTATTTTTATAATTTTTTTTACTCATTACAGTTATATAGTAATGGGGCCCGATATAAACTCGAAACCCGAAAAAATACACGAGCCGAACTTGAGCCTATACTAATGAGGCCTGATGGTATGTGAGCTTCAGTTTATAGTAAAGAGGCCCCACGGTATGTGAGCTTGAGCCTATCCAAACTCAGCTCATATGCCCCGATTGCTAGCCCTATGTATACTATTATAGGATTTATATTGGCACCAATTTCACTTGTCTCCCATCCACACTATAACTAATTTCTTGCTAAAATGATGTAGATTTGGAGTTGTTCCGTCCTCGCTCATCAACCTGAGACGATTATAAACGTATCATGGGGGATAATTACAGTTTTGGTCCCTATATTATACACCTTTTACGATTTTGATCCTTAAACTTTTTTTGGCACGGAATTGGTCCTCAAATAACCGCTTTACTTACTATTTTGGTCCACCTTTTGAAATTGTTGTTAGTTTGGACGAAAAAGTTACGTGCCAGGCACGTGGTCATGCACTTCTACCCCTGT